GTACGCCCTCTTGAGGCGTAGCATTGTGTAATACAATGTTCCCGACGGTTATTTGGACCTGTTCAACCATGAAGCCTTCATGGTCTAGTGGTTATGACACTCGCCTTGTCAGCGAGAGGTCGCAGGTTCGAATCCTGTCAGAGGAATTTTATTACACAATGACTTTTATAGGACTTTATTTGTTGAAAAGCTGCAGGGTAGCCTATGATGTTCCATCATGTCTTTATTTAAACACTGTAGCTTGCAGTCCCAAAGCATATTATCACTAAATGTTATACTGAGTAATTAACATAAAGAATGTGGCGGTATTGTATACTTTAGTATAGAGAAGCCATAATGCATGCTTAACTTTACCAAGAGTTGAGAAGCCATAATACACGCTTAACTTTACCAAGAGTTGATTCCAGTAAATCACTTTAAAGCTTATAATATGGAGGATATGCAATACTGTATATTAAAATGACTAATTCCTTATGTTGGATACTGATGCTGATTTTGGCATGGCAAGCCCCATATTATAAAAATCGTAAATTGTCAGATGCAAACATTTTTTCAGAGGATGGATAGTTCAAAGTTTCTGATAGTTAAAATGCCATACTTGATAATTACCTAAATTTTTACCAATATGTTAACTTGCATGTTTTTATGGGTTTTTTGTGAGAACAGTGACATATTATAAACAATTAGTATGTCTGTCTATCATACACTAGCTGCAAAATATTTTTTAAAAAAAACTATTGCACACTAACAACATATATTAGTGCACGTTTTGGGATAGGTAAAATACCAGTGGTAGGCCTACATTATGAGGATGTCACGATTGACATAGAATTTTATTTATTTATATTAATATGCCATGTATTGGATTTTATTGAATATTTCCATTGTTTCTTTAAATACAGGCTGTCAATCATGTAGACCATGGTAATCTTTTAAGCAAATTGATCAAGGAAACTGGTTTTGGTGAGAGCTTGGAGAGTGCTTACATCACACCCTCAGAACAAATGGACATGCCCCGGCCAAAAACCTCAACTTCAAAGCAACCGAGTATATTTTCTCTTATGCAACGTTTTGAGATGGTAGGGCTTATCTGTAGTTTTTAATTTTTAAAAGTAGTGAAATGATTAAAGTTGTGAAAATTATTTTATTTTTCACTATACTTATCAATATTATAGTTGACATGTGGAAGCGGTTTGGCGCAGCGTGAACGGTTTGGTTTCACAACCTCGAGGTCGGGGTTTCAATCCCTCGCTGTGCATTTCGCTGGTATCCTTGAGCAAGACACTTTATCTGCATTGCTTCTCTTCACCCAGGAGTATAAATGTACCTGGTGGGGTTGCTTGCTCCTGATTACTAGCAGCAACACTTAGCATGTGGACCCAATGATATTGATAGTTGACATGTCAATTTGATTATAACTTGGTAATTTGTAGTACTGTAGTAACGATTTCTCATTTCATTTTCTCATCTCATTTCTCAAATGGATGGATGAATGATTTGATAAAACGGACGAACGGGCGGGTGGGTGGACTGATAGATATGTGGATGGATGGATTGATTTACGGATGGAGGGATAGAAGAAGAATAGATAGATACATGGATGGGTGTATTGATTAATGAATGAATGAGGGGTGGGGTGGGGGAAAGATATGTAGACAGATTATATCATTTAAGACATACAGTGCCTTAAATCATAAAATGTAAACTTTTAAGATTTCCTGTTTATCTTTTTGTAGCCAGCAGAGAGTGATGACACAAGCAAAGCTGGCACTCACGACTCAGTTTACCTTGAAATGGAGGACCCATCAGAGACCAAGCCAGATACACCCACCTTTACTGTGGAAGATACCGGTAACGACGACACAGAACCAGTATATGAAAATAATGCCATACGATCTGTAAGTGGAAGCATAGTAGAAGACACGAACAACAAGATATATCTGTCAATATAGAAGACATCTAGGCAATAAATAAAAATTATTATTATCATTGAATTAATATTAATTAACCAAATTCTCTTTTTGGTTGAAAACCTTTTTTGAAGGGCTATGCAAGATAAGATAATAATATGTTTCTATTTCAAGCACTGTTGTTATTATCAGGGGCGGATCCAGAGATGTCCAAAAGGGGGGCCGAAAGGGGCGGCCGAAATTTGGGCCGATCGAGACAACAATGCCCTAGGGGGTCCGGGGGCATGCCCCCGCGAAATTTTT